TGCTGTGTGCTCCCTCACTGAGGTATTCATCATTGTATGATCCTTGGCCCCTTTTTGGACACCGCTAAGGCACGTTCGTACCCCGTCTGGTGCGTGTGTGTCACGTTCTCCCTCTGTCCTCTGCTGCCTCCTGGCTCCTCTCCTCTCTTCTTCTGTGTGGTTCGTGGTGTGGTGTGTGTGGTGCTTTGGCCGCCCCCCTCTTTCTGCTTCCCCCCCCTTTGATGGCAGGTTTCTTGTTGGTTGGTTGCGTGTTGTTTGTTTCTTCTTTTGCCTGGATACCGAGGATACCGCCCTGCATAATAGCTCTGTTGTTTCACCCTGGCTACATTGGTCTCATGTTTTTGTGACTAAGGATTCGTCCGAGGCGGGGTAGCTTTTCACTGCCCCCCCCTCTCACCTCCCATTTAATTCACGTTGAATTGGTTTGTTTTCTCATGTGGCTTCGTCTTCGGCATCGTATTGGGGAGGGCCCTTCTCCTTTGTGTGTTTCTGCCTTTGTTCCGAGAGGGGCGGTCGATTCCCGGTAGAGCCATGGACTAGGCTGCACTGCAGTGAGCTTTACTGGCGCTGTCCAGTTGAGCTTCCTGCAGTTCAGACTGGTGCGCCCGCGTGCAGCAAAGCCTGCCCACATGGTTCGTTGTGCGGATGTTCTGTAGTGCCTTGGCAGATGGCCCACTCGGTGGGAGAGTGGCCTGGTCTGGAATACACTGCTAACTTACGGTGCATCTGGTCCTCTCCGCAGGCTCTTGCTGGGACGATGACGCCTAGTGACTCCTGTCAGAGAATCTGGTGCTGGCGCAGCGAACCATTTCAACCTTCATAGCTTAGGGGGACGAGTTCGACTGCAATGCGAATGCAACTTTTGCTTACATGTCGGCAGTAGCATACTGGTTGTGCTCACGAGCCCATGCTATGGTCAGAAGCTTCGTCTGTCTGCAATGGCCGTATAGTGCCATTCAGGCTTTTTCAGCCACCTTTTCACCCACTGCCCATTAGGGTCTTGGGCCCTTTACTATATGACGGTTCCTGTGAGGGCTCACACCATCTGGCATGTCTTACAGGCCGTCAGTACTCTCCTCCCCATCTAGGGGGGGCAATAGATCACAATCCCTTGCGGCGGTGTATATTGACTGGAACAGACTTACTTGCGTACGCTGAACGATGCAGGATGAACAGCAGCGATGCGGGAGTTGCTATATTGACAAGACGTCCATACAGGCGGCCTCTGTCGTGCTACACATCAGTCTGCCTGCAACACTGGATTCTCTTATCTGTTCTCAGGTGAGACATTCTGGGCGATCATGTACTATATTTCACGCACTGCCGCAATGGATAATTAGTTTGCATGTTTTTGAGGATGATACGGTGGCTAAGGTCACTGTATCTAAGGCAAATCTGAATGTGTTTTTTGTTTTGTTGGGCCCTGCCCCGTTCTTTGTTGCTTCGCTGTTTTGCTTTGAGGCGAAACGCAAATCTGGCTGTGGGATTTGCGGGTCGTTTTTGGTTGTGGTGGTTTTGTTGTTTTTTGTTTGTCGTTGGTTTCGTGATGATTTGCCAAAGTTTTTGGACCACACGTGTCCTTGTACATTCCTGCTTTTCACTGCTTACGCAATTGTAAGGACCGAGCCTAGTGCGAATCGGCCAAACCGGAGGAAAAAAAAACACATGGAGTGGGCGTGCCAAGCACTCATATGGCCACTTGCTCTTCCTTGACCTTGACGAAGGGGTGCACGATGTTCAGCGGCTTCAAATCACCAACCCGCAAATTATCCCACATGGGGTCAGATGTGAAGGATTGTTGCGGGTGCTCTCTTGGGTCAGCTTTGACCTTCCGGTCCACCTGAAAACAACCCTCAGCACTTTACTGGTCGCAGCTGGAGAGGGGAACACAGAGCTCCACAAGGTGCCGATAGTAGGAAGAGATATTCGGGATGATCAGCCTGAGTCAGAGACAGAACTGCAACTAGCTCTGATAGCCATGATTCCCACCCCAGGAGGTTCCCATGACGAGGGAGGGCTACTTGTGCGTGACTTGCTTGCAGAATTCCTGCGAGGTTTCTCCCTAAGAACTCTCATCTTCCTACTTGATATGGTACTCCCGCAACTAGATGCTTATCATGCAGGGCGGCAGCTCCAGCATCTCCAGCCCTGGGTAAGTGTAGAACTAGTGCAGCAACAGAAGCGCGGACAAACGGGAACGCAGCTTCAAGTTACCTACCAATATGAGGCGCATGCTGGCTTCCATGTCATTCACCTACATACAGAAGGCGCCCCGCTTCTGTTGTTTTGTGCACCGTCTGAAGTTCCAGAAGCCTCACCGAAGGATCTATGTGCTGTAGGGAATCTTGGCAACATGGAAGCCAACGTGATGGCGGGCAGAGCGCTGTTAGGAGTACTACAGCTGCCCAATGCTCAGCAGAGGTGCGCTATTCTCCTGGTTCACGAGAAGGTGATGCAAGGGGGCACCAGCAAGAACCCTGCACAGCGGGCAATCAAACGCATCGCTCCGAAGTTGCTAGAGCTCATAGTAGTCTCACTACCCATAGCTCGGACATTTTGTGGAAAGCTTTTGGACCAGTATCTTAAGACCATAGGTTATTTTGACCCTGCCCAGGACTGGCCGCGACCTATTGACGAAAACATGACTATGGCAGTTGTGCTGGAAGAGCTGGCCTTCTTAGGTGACACCAGAAGCCGCCATGAACTCCTAGTATTTGCACAAGCTAACCAGTCGCGCTTACCCCTGACGATGGGCATTGTCCAGCCGAACATACCCGTTCGCCGCATGGCCAGCGAACGCAAAACACAGCTGACTGACGCATTAGTCAGAATCTTGAGCCGCTTCCTTACACCAGCTACAGTCCCTATGGCAGGGGCCTATGATAGCTACTATCGGGAGTATCTCATCCCACTGGCAGCACACGGCGATGGACATGTGCTCACGGTCACAATTGCCATGTTGTTGGCTATCCTAACGGGCAGATCTGACCTCTGTATTGCAGGCGTCTTTGGTGCCGGCAAAACGCGATCCCTTGCAGTCTTGCTAATTGCGCTCAGCTGTGAACAAAGTGACTTTGCTGCGATCGTCTACACGAAAGAAAACGTAGCTGCCAAAGCGTTAGCAGATCAGCTGAAAAGATTTTTCTTTTGAATCGGGGTTCCATTGTGAATCGGGGTTCCCTCGCTCTGCTCTCACCGTAACATGTAACGAGTCAACAGCTAGTCCAGAAGAGTGGGGTGAAGCCTCTAGCTTTGTGCTTTCTTTGCTGCCTCCCCCAAGCTATAAGCCTTCATGCCTTGCTGGCAGCAATGTCCTGCTAACTTTTTGTAGCTTGCCCGCCCGCCCGCCCGCCCGCAAAGTGTTTTTTTGCACAATGTGGTGCATGTGGTGCAGGGGCCTTGTGATTTTGGGTATGTAATCCCTTGCAGTTGACATTAGTATGGTGGCCATGCGTAGTTTGGGGAAACCGCTTAACATGAAAGTTTCGATGTATATATTGTATAGACCAGAAATAGTTAGGGGGGTGATAACATGGTAGACTTGATTCAAAAGTGGCAGGGTCGCTGTCTTGTAATTTATTGTAGAGTGATGAGCATTTTTCAAGTTCGTTGTTTTTGAACGGCGTCAGTATCTAACAATTTTCCTATTAGTTTGGCACCCCAAAATCTGACCCCCACAACCAACTAAACATGTAGCAAACCTGTAGGAAAAAGGTTACTGAGGGTAGAGTTGTGGGGGTCAGATTTGGGGTGCCAAACCAGCAGGAAAATTAGAATCAGTATCTTAGATTCATTTTTCGTTGTCCCTCGCGCCCCAAGAGTTTGCCGGCCGCTCGTTGGCTGGAAGGGTTTTTGTGACTGTTGGCGCGTTTCAATTTGTTTCACCATGGCCTACGATGGGGGAAAGATGCCGCCTATTACTGAGCTGTCAAGACCTCAGGGACTCAGGGACCAATGTTGCCATGTGTTTCCCACATGTTTTCATGTTTATATTTTCGGTGGCCGCTGGTGGCCGCAAAGGTCGGATGATGAGGAACCTGGTGCTCAAACTGCTGGTCGTGAGCCGAAGGTGTGGACAGATTGGGCCCTTGAAAGTGGGTAGTTATTTTTTGTGTTGGCAGTGCATTGACAATGATGTCTTGTATAAACTGGTGCCGTGCATCTTGCCAGGGAAAGTCTCGCAGCAAGCAGGCTTGGTTGACAATTTTTTGATTCTCAAGGGGTTGTTATTGTTTGGGCCCAGGCCGTGCAGAAGACCCGGAAGGTTCACCTGAAGCCCAAAGTTTCCCAGAAGGAGAGAACCATGTGTCGTAGGTTGGCAAGTTTGTTGGTTTTGTCTTCCAACCTCCGACCCTTCAGGATACTGCGACTTTGAAGAAGATCTGCAAATGTGGTAAAAGATTCAAGGGGCAGGCTCGAGCAGTTGATGCCAACAACCGTGTAACCCAGAGAACACAAATTTCGCGTGCCAGTTGCCGAGCTATGGATGGGCCCATGAGCAGAAACTTGGCCTTTGCGGAGTTCGGCTTCCAGTTGCGCCCAAGTTGAATCTCAAAGTTGCCAGGGTCTGAGATGGTTGTAGTCGTTTTCCATTGTTTCTGACAGCGTGAATGGATGGCAATTTCCAGGTCTCGAGTGCTTCTCATGGTGCGAGCCCGAAACTCGCCAATGGTGCCACACGGTTCATCGGGTCGCGAGTCCTCAAGAGTTGGGGCTGCATCCGCCATTGCCTCAGCCAGATCCATGTGGCACACACTTTGAAGGGAGTTTTGTCAAGTTTTTTCAGGGTCGTTTGGTCAAGATTTGTTCTTTCTTTCCAGATATTATTCCTTGTCAATTTTTGTTCTCTCTTGCCAGGTTGCTTCTCAGCAACGATCTCCGTTTCGAAGCAGGTTTCCACCCGTGGGATCACAGTGCAGGGCTTAGTGAAAACGCCAGTTCCTTCACTTGAAGTCTTTGGTCACTTTGTAAGGACCTGGCGAATACGATCCGCTACAGTCTGAAGTACAAGGAGGCGATTCGTCTCCGAGGCCTGAAACCAGGCAGATACCTATCGGTCCAGGCAGGAGAGTACTTTTCCGGATTGCCGCTTGGATGGACGTCGCCGCATGCTGGGGCTGTGAGCCCACATGATATGCGGGCATGGTTGGATTCGCAGAAGGCGGGGTTCAGTCAATGTTATTTCAAGTTGTTTCACCAAGTAAGTTGATGTTTTTAGATTGCTGCTGAGATTTCTGGTGTACTGGGATGTTGTACTGTTTTAAATTCCACCCATTCAGCGCCGCATGTGGAGGTCTGGGATGTGGCTGATTCTCTGTCAAAGATGACAGCAATCAGTTTGTTTTCCGGTGTGGGGGGTTTAGAGCTCGGACTTTCTCAGTGTGCCTGTCATGTTTTCAGCCGCAAGTGATTTTTGAATCTTTCAATCATTAAGCCACCTTTCAAACATTCATTTCTTGCTCACGTCGACAGCCCTACTTTGCAATGTAGCCGCCGAAAGCTCAAGACCTTGGTCAGTTTTTACAGATGGAGAGATGCTGCTGGCAAACTGTCAGCACCGTGGGCATCAACCAAGTCAGGTGGAAAGCTGAGCACATGTGCAGCTTGTTGAGAGATTTCGACCAGCGTTGGGGTTTAATTTGCGAATGAAAATTGTTGCAAAAAAGTTTTGAGTTTTGATGAGTTTGTGCAAGCTCAAGATCTTTGCGGCAGTATTCAGAAGCAGATTCTGAGGGTTTGTCGCAATTCGCTTGTCACTTGCCGATGGCACAACAACTCGCCCACACCTTAACCTCTGCTTCCCAGTTTGAAAGTTGTCCATGAGAGGTTTAGAGGGTTTGTGCAATATGCATCCATATGCGCATAGTGAATGGATGCATGTGGATACACCTGTATACATGATATACATTTAGCTTAAAACATGTACATACATACCACACATCGCGTAGTTTCATGCGACAACGCATGAACTAGTAGAATGCAGCAAAGAAAAGTGAATGCGTTTGTTTTAATACTTACCTCAATGCATACCATAACCGACCTTAAACCAAAGCTGAACATACAGATGAGCCGAACATTAAACTTTTTTGGTCTTGGTTCCACATGCGCACAACCAATGGTATATTGAAGCGCTTTCGCGCGCACGGACCCAAGACAGAAAGCCACTGGCAGAGTGAGTGAACATACATGCTACTTACCTACGGACATGCAGACACACGGTCATAAACAAAACAGAATTGAAATTGACGTATCATTGCATAGCATGACATACGTTTTTGCATAGCATTCCTTATACGTTACATACTTACCTTCTCAGGAGCCAGCGTATACAGATTTAGTTTCGGCGCCATGTGAACGTACACATACATATGTTATATGTACGCGTGTTCATACAAAACATGTTTACACGACTCCGCTTAAGGCAGCGTAACACAACGCGCTTGTACTTTTGCGCGCAGGAATTCGCACGAAAACACAGAAAATAACCACAACTGCAGCATATGATTACATATGTATGTACATCACACGACTGACAAACAAAAGTGGCGTAGATACATGCAGACATACATACATTCATGCACGCGTACATACATTCATACATGTATACACAAATATGTTTTCTTTGTTTCCAATTTCAGGCATTAACACACACAAACGTACAAACATACGTACATACATGCATGCGAATGTACACATGTTACATGTGCATATACACAACGAGGCTCACTCATACACGAAGCAAGGACACATGCGTGCATATTTGCTGTGTATACAAACATATATGTATATGTAGATGTGGTAATAAGAGAGATGCATGCTTGGCACTTTTACATATGAATATGCGTGGATGTATGCCAATATGCGCCTATGATGTTCCATGTTTCTAACTCTTTCCATGCTCAACTTTTCAGACCATATAATGTCAGACTTGGCCAGTCAGCGTTTGATTGCCTGCCAATCTTACTTACCAGAGTTTTCCCTTGGGTTCATTGGGTCGTTGCTCCAACCTAGGTGGCTTTGGGTTGGCAATGCTTGGCATCAGGTATCCGAGGAAATCATGAAGACCGTGCGTCCTGATTCAAAATTAGATGATATCGTCGCAGCCCAATCCCAAGAGGAGCTCCATGAATCAGCTGACATTTTGAAAGTTGATTTTGCCGAGCAGCCTTCTGGAATGCTGCGTGTGTGGTGCAGCCTTGCCTGTTTTAAATTTCATGGTTTCCATGGGGCCTGCTGCCAGGAATCTGCGGGAAGGAGCTTCCCTGGTGCGAGCCCCCGCGAGCCACCCAACAAACGGTTGCGCGGATAAAAAGTCAAAACCATACAGCTGAAGTTGTAGTTGCGCTCAGCTCCTGCTTCACAGTGATAACATGATGATGGCTCATCATGAAGTTACTACATGTTAAGCTTCGTCATGGCAGGTTCTTTCACACATTGGAGTACGACGAGACCTTAGACAATAGTTTGCATTTGAGGTTTTTGGAATGACATATTTTTTCAAGATGGCGCAGGTGCAATCAGACAGTTGGCTGATTGACCTTTCTCACTTTGAACCATGCTGCGCCGGACTTAGGTGGAGAACTCGCCATTTTGCACCAAAGTGCTGTTGGCCAGAATGGCTGACGGCTGCCTGCCCTCTGGCAAAGTGATTCCTGATGTCAAAGATTACAGTCCATCACCTGAAGTTGCTCGGAACACTGACGCTGTGTTGGCGGGATTCCCTTGCCAGGTGGGCCAACAATCTGTTAGCCATGGTTGTGTTTTGCCTTGATGATTCAAAGCTATCTTTGTTCCACAACATGTATGTTTGTTCAGGGAGTATCCCAAGCTGGATGCCAAGCTGGCATGGCAGACGAGAGATCCGCTCTGGTGAGCTATGTCTTCAAGACGTGGGACAAGCTCTTGCCTGGAAGGTTGGGGTGTGTTGTTTGATTGACTCGATTTGCCCAAGCCGGGTCACTCGAGGAGAAAGCTGCTCCTCCTCGAGAATGTGAGTGCGCTCCTCTCCCGGAATCCTGGTTGCCGTGGTTTGATGAACTATGTGATTCAGGCCGGGGTTTGAGGACAGAGTGGCCACTCTTGGTTGTTGACCGTTGGCAGGAGTGCAATCGGCGCGGGCTGAAGCTCACTTGGTGCTCCATCCGGTTGTCAAATTGTGGTTTGGCAGTCACGTCCTCAATGTCAGTTTACATTGCAACTCAGAGGGCTGCAAACTTGTTGCTGCAGGCTGGCAGGAAGAGAATCTTCTTGATTGCCCGTGCTGCTGGTGTGAACCATTTTCCAGCTGGACTCAAGGACCAAAAACATTTTCTTCTGAACTGCAGTTTTGAGTGATTTGTTGGTTTGTAACTTTGTGCCAGAAGCTTGTGCATGTTCATAAGTTGAGTTGCGAGGAAATTCCGTTCAGTGCTTGGCAGACACCGTGGAACCCGACGTCTACTGTTCCCATGGAGTTGTGGCTGAAGGATGAGCTGACACCTGAGGAGCGACTCCGATTGAAGTCCATGGGGAACATTGTTGTTCCCAAACAGGCCGCGCTTGGTGCTTGTGTTTTGGCCAAGATGCAGGACGTGTAGAGGCCTTCCACTGCATGCTCACTAGTCAAGCATTTGTTGTTCCAGTTGAAGCCTGTGTTTTGGTTCTTACCCGTGTTTACTTTTGGTCGACTTGGATGCTGCTCCTCTCTTGGCTTAATTCGAAGCTGCCTCGATTAGACAGTTTCCGGTTGTTACGCTTGCCTTGCTTGGGGAAGAAGCCGAGTTTGATCTTAGCCTTGCCTGTGCAGATTCCTGAGTTGTTGAACGTTGCTGTCGGAAGGTCAACTCCTGTTAGTGGGGATGTGTGGTTTTGGAATTGACTGTGAAGTTTGTGTGATCTGCAAGTGTCAGTGTTTGCCGCTAGCTTTTTTTTTGACGCAGCTGCCACCCGTGTTGCTGGGATGATGAACTTCATGCGTTTCACTCGATGCCGGTTGGGTGGTGCATCTGATAGTGAGCCGGGCATTAGCCAGCCTTGGCAGCCAAGCCAGTGTGAGATCAGGGAGAAGTACGTTCCTATGATCGAGAAACAGGACGCCATCATTTTGGCCTACAACACTGCGGAGACCGTCTTCATCCCGGAGATCAAGCGCGAGGCTCTTCTGCTGACCACTGATGGAAGTCGCGAGATGCAGTATGTGACACTTGTTTTGTGATTGTTTAGTCGAAGCAGCAGTTCTTGGGCTGTGGATGTGGAGTTTGTTTGCGTGAGCCTGTGTAAGTTTGAAGGCGTGCTTGTGTGGATGTTTTTTGCCACGTTCCACTGAGGATGGTCTTCGAAAACATCATGGCCCATGTGACAAAGGAGTTGGCGATGCTCTCTTTGAAGAAACCAGTTGAACCAGCTGATTTTGTCCATGTTTGGTCTGAAGCTTGGGATATCACGGCAGCGGAGATTCTTGTGCTCGATAGTCAGAAGATTTCTTGCCGTGATGAGTCGAAGCTGGCCCGTCTTTACGTCAGGCGCGGTATGGGACCTGTTTCGTTCAAATATAGCTGGATGCTGCTTCTTTGCATTGTTTCCGGCGAGTTGCCGGCTTGAGTTTTGGGCAATGCTTTGACGATGGCAGGCTGCCGAAGTTGTACCCAGCGCACGCTGGGGCTCTGGAAACCATCGCCATTACAACTTCTTTGGAGAAGTACTCATTGCTTGCTCGTCCTTTGCAGTCGCTGGTTTGCAATCTATTTCGCCTAGCAGAGGTGTCTGTGGAAATGATGTGATCGTGACAATGTGACAAGTGTGCCGTGACGTTATGTGATGTGATGCCTTGTATTCTGAAATGGGATGTGATGCGACGTCGTGTTTTTGTGGTGGTGTGATGTTGGTTTGTCACGTGATGTTTTGTGATGTGATGAGGTGAGATTTCTTTCATGATGTGATGGGATGTGAGGTGATGTCGTTTATTTCACGATGGGATTTGACATGATTATTTTTCGTTGTGCTGTGATGGGACGTGGTATGATATGATGGATTTTATTACGTAATGTGGTGTGATGTGATGCATTTTATGATTTCATGCGATGTGATGTAGTTATGTGTGCTGTGGGTTATTTACTCAAGCATGTGGGTTGGAATTGCGAGGCCTTTGGTGCCGCCACCGACTGAAGCCTGACCCAGCAAGGCCAAGAGATGGCTCAACATGGGGCCAAATTTTGTTATGGGTAGATTTGGCAGTTGGCTTGTGATGGTCCGCCTTTGCTTGGCTGTGTACTTATGCTGATCTCAATCATTTACATTTCATTGTGAGTTTTGCGCACCCACGCCACACTGTCATTTTGACGGAAGCTTTGACTTTGCAATGTGAGCATTGCGGCCATAGTCAGTAGCTGACCAGTCCGGTGCAGTGCAAAGCAGCGGCGAGACTTGAAGAGTGACCATGCTGGTGTTGTCTTTCAGCTCCTGTTTCAGTTAGATGTTGCCAGAAAGCCATTTTGGCAAAGAGAAGCTGTGGAACAACAGTTTGAGCTGCGGACTGATTGAAGTATGTCAAGTTTCATATGTTTTTTTATTCGGTCAGAAGCATATCCACATGTCAAGTTCCAGAGTTTAATGTGTTTGGTGTCGGAAATTGTAGAAGATCCGCAAGCGGCTAGCCGTAGATTCTTCAAAGCACTTTGCAAAAACTTAGCAGCTTGCAGCCGCCCAATGCCGTCTCCACAGCCTGTCCTTGTTCTGTCTGACAGTTCCAGTACCGATGCTGAAATTGTCCCACCAAGACCAGCTGCCAGACCAAGACAAAGCCAGCAGCGAGGACGGCCGTCTCGGCCTTCCTCATCACAGGTCCTTCCCGCTGTAGAGTTTCTCACCGAGTCTTCCAGTGAACAGGAGTGTGACCCTGAAGACTCCAGGGTGCGACGTGGAAAGAGAAAGCGAACCAAGGTGGCAGGACTTGCCACCCTGAAGGATCGATTGACAAATGAGGTGCACTGCAAAGCTCTGCTTCTGAGGAAGTGCTTCAGTTGTCGGCGCCGATGTTTGTCGCGCTTCCTGTCAAATCACAACTTTCAGAAGTTGATGGAGTTCAGGAAACTGTGGTCTGAAACCCACAAGCTCGATCAAGACCGCATGGCTTTTTGGACGATTTAGCTTCACTTAAGTTGTTCATTTTGCTGGGCCTTTTACATCAACTTTGTTTGGCTGACAGGGCTTTGTGTTTCCTAATTGGGACAGGGGCAGAAGGTAGGTTGTTTCATTCAGCTTTCTCGCTGGAGGCCTTTGACCGCATGAAAGCCTTGCTTAGCTCTCGAGATGGTGATCATGGTCGCACTGTTGAGTGGACTGTCCTGGGCCACAAAGTCTGCTTGCGGAGTTGGAAGTTGATTCACGCTATGGGCACCTAGGCGCAGTTTTCATCATTACATGAACACATTTATTGAGCGCTTACGATTTATGTACACCGTGTTTTTTCTTTGGTTCGCGTGTTTTGGCGCGTAGGGTATCATGGAGGTTATAGTTATAGAGACTTCAGCAGTAAAAATTGAAGATCTGATCTGGGGTGTTGACCTTGCTAGATTTGTGAAAGCCGCCGCGTCCAGGATCCTACCATGCCAATTTTCAACTTGGGTTCGCCCCGGAAAACGGACCCCACCAAGTGTCAAATTTCCTTCCAAAAACTCAGGAAAAAAGCTATTTTTCGGGCGACTTGGTGGGGTCCATTTTATACACTTTGAAGGGTTCGGAAGGCAATTGTAAAGGAGCAAAAACGATACTTTATGTGGACCCGGTGGGGGACCCTCCACAGGGTCAACCCCTGGATTGGTTGACCCTCTGGAGGCCCCTCCACCGGGTCCACGTGTTTTTGATCGGTTTTTGACCCAACATAGCCTTTACATGGCTCAACATAGCCCCCAAAATGGCCCGAGATAGGCTCGGTATGCCCCCCATCAGGCTTCCATGGAGGTCTCTGGGTAAAACATGTCTTGACTATGTTTGGTCTGTGAATGTATTCATGCTCCCTGTTTGAGCAATTTTGCCCGCCCAAGTTTCCCTTCCTTCTTTAGTTGAAGTTGTTAGTTTGCTGCACAATTGAATCTGGTCGCCCAGCAGACCGCCAGATTTTTGGTGTTTTTCTTCCCGAAAATCGTTTCCAGAGACCTCATGGAACCTTATAGTTTGAACTTTTTTCTAGGAAGCCACCTGCGGAGTAAGTTTAGGTTATGTGAGATATGTTGATATGCCACCACTGTAATTCATTTCAGCAGTCATGCAACTGACCCCGTTTGTTGAGGTTCCAAAAGGAAGCCCTTGGCTGACTTACATAAGTAATAAGGATCGAAGTTTGCTTCGGAAAAAAATAAATTATTTTGAGGGAAAGCCACCTTGTTGTTGTGATGCTTTTTGAAGCAGAGCCCCAGTCTGGATTAGGTAATGGCCGCTTCGATCGTTTGTGGCGTGCAGCTCAAAGAGGGGACGCAGGGCCTCCAGCCGATCTCCGATTTTTGACACGTCCCAAGAGCGTGGTGTGTGGCGATTCTGGGAGCGCCAGAGTGATATCATTTCTCCAAACACTCTACGAGTCGGTGGCAGAAACGCTACCTGACATTAAGGATGATCTGAATGTCGAAACGGTTTTGGATGAGAATCGGGCCTTCACTGGGTTCGCAGGCGGTGATGCCTACTCAGCATTGAAGCTGTCTTCAATTTCTCGTGGGCGTGCTGATGGCTCCAAGCAACGAAGGGTTAGACGATACAAGCAGGGATTGAAACTTCACGCGGAGAGACATCCGGACCTTTCTGGACTGGAGGTGAGATACCTTCCACCAGGAAACATGTCTGAGTACTGGGAACAGTTCCGGATCTTGGAGGGGGCCATCAGCGTATCCTTTCCAGTTTTTTGGAGGGTGTGGAGAACGGAGTTTGGGCACCTGAGATTTCGCCCCACCAGTTCTCATTCAATGTGTGCGAGTTGCCTTCACCACCGCCTGCTTTTGAAAGAGCTCAGTCCATGGATCCAAGCCAGGAAGAAGCAAGCATTGCTCTTCCACGAGCACCTCATGAGCCAATACAGAGATCGTCAAACTTACTGGGCGCTGCGAGGTAGCTCGAGGCTGCGGGCTTTGGGCCAAGTTTGCATCATTGCAGATGCAATGGACCAAGCGAAATTCTTGTATCCAAGGACTGTTTTGATGCGAAGCAAGAACCTGGCCACATTTCAGCGGCCAAAGCTAAGTATCGTCGGATGCTTGGCGCACGGCCACAGTCTCTTATTTACTGTGAGCAATGGAAACCATCCGAAGGATAGCTCGGCAATGTCCGAGATATTTGCCCACATGTTGACCAAGTTGTCCAGACTCGGCGTGCGCTTGTCTGACACAGTGGTGCACCTGATGTCAGACAACACTAGCAGAGAGACAAAAAACAATACTACATTGAGGCTTTTAACTTGGCTTGTCCACCACAGAAGCATTGTTTGACCTTAACAATTTTCCGGCTGTTTTTGGCCTTTGAATCTTATTTTGTTTCTTGCAACTGTTCTTTGAAGTTGAATCCTGTTAGGAATTGTGGCGGGGGCCACATGCCGACAACTCCGCAGTGGCCACAGCCACGAGGATATAGATCAGATATTCGGAAGTATGGCCCTTTTCTTGGTCAAACATGCGAAGACAGTTCAGACGCCCGATGGCTTTTGCGATGTTGTCAAGCAGTTCTGTACTTCAACCAACCGGCCTTTTGAGAATGACCGTGATGTGGTGAAGTTGGATCAGCACCGCCCATGGAATCTCTGCGGTTTGCGCAGCACATTTTAATGGTAAGTGTTTGTTTTTGTGGTTTGGGGAGTAGCGTCTTCTGAAGCCAGTTTTAACTTTGGCGTTGCTCAGGAAAGATTTCCTGAGTGGCGCGGTGCCTGTCATGTTACACGGGATGGGAGGACCTGGAGCACCACATCATTATGAACTGTCTCGACGCGAAAACTTGGGTTACTTGGAAGTGATGTTGTGATGCATGTTAACCTTGATCATTTTTGGTCTGTGTTTGGAAGTGATGTTGTGATGCATGTTAACCTTGATCAGCTTTGGTCTGTGTTTGTTTGTGGGGTTAGTGGATTTTTCTGGTGTTTTCGTAACATCTCTGTGGGCAATGATGTTGGGTGTCGGATTGCCATGCCGTTCAATCCGAGCGTCAGCCCTTTCAAGTTTTAGATTCTCAATGAACCCACAATTGTTTGCCAGTCAATGTGGCAAGTCTGGTCTCGAGAGTTTGCCAAGTCTTTCCCACCAAGGAGGAGATGCCAAACTCGCAACGAATACATACTGGAAACTGTCAGAAGCAGAAGAGGATCCAACCGATGTTATTCTTCAGAGACTCAACCATGATTGAAGTGCGGCTAGGGTTTTGACTTTTCCAAGAGCCATATGCAGTGCAAGTCTTTCAACAAGTGGAAAGTGTAGTCCTTGTTGTTGTTGTTGTTGTTGTTGCGGCGGGTGCTGTTGTGGTTCTGCTTTTGTTGCTGGTACCCTTGTTCTTGGTTTTTTGTTGTTGTTTTTGTTGTTGTCGCGGTTGTTGTTGCTGTTGATGTTGTTGTTGTTGCTGTCGTCATTGTTGTGGTTGCTGTTGTTTCTATGTTGGTTGGCGTTGTCGTTGTCGTTGTCGTTGTCGTTGTCGTTGTGGTTGTTGTTCTTGTTGTTGTTGTTCTTCTTGTTGTTGTTGTTGCTCTTGTTGTTCTTGTTGTTGTTGTTGGTGGTGGTGGTGTTTGTCGTTGTTAGCGTCCTTGTTTTTGTTGGTTTCTTTGGTTCGGTGTTTGTTGTTTTGTTTTGTTTTGTTTGTTTTGTTTGTTTGTTTGTTTGTTTGTTTGTTTGTTCTTGTTTTGTTTTGTTTTGTCTTGTTTGTTTGTTTGTTTGTTTGTTTTTGTTTTTCGGTTTTTTGTTTTTATGTTTGTTCGTTTGTTCGTTTGTGGTTGTTTTTTTGCTGAGAAAAACAAACAAACAAACAAACAAACAAGCAAGCAAGCAAGCAAGCGAGCAAGCAAGCAAGCAAGCAAGCAAGCAAACAAACAAACAAACAAACAAACAAGCAGCTGCGGCTGTTTTGATTGGCAGCCTTGTCACGCGTTCTTGTCATTTGGTGCTTCAGATTTTTTTTGCCTAGGACCAAGCAGTATATGGCAGACCGGGAGTTCAACGCTCGGATTTTGTTCTACCCGGCCAAGGTTGCCAAAATCTGGGCTCGAACAGGACAGCCTGCAGGCGTGGACGTTGAACAGCATCAGTTGTCGGGGAAGAATAATCAAGAATGAATGAAGTTCTCACTTGTCAAAATTGAAGTTCAGCGTTGTGTCACCAATTTGTTTGCGTTGTGTTTTTGCTGATGCTGCTGCCAGGGGTTGCGCCTTTGAATGAGCTGAGCGAAGAGTACAAAGATCATGTGAGAAGGTTCTGCCCAATCCTGGAGTCCTACAGACTGAATCATGCGGCTTCACACTTGAAACAGTGGGTGAACGGAGAGCTCCAGCTGGCGCCGTTGCTGGATACGTCAGCGTTGCATGTTCGTTTTAGAATTCCCCTAGCTCCCAGCTTTGTTTTTTGCTTTGAAAGTTAAAGTGGCTCGCTGTGTTCATGTGGTGTCCAGTGCACCGCAATGGGCAAACGTGCGTATACATCCTAAACATATATTTTTTGTGTTAACCAGATGCAGGCGTATCTACATACATGACATGTACGCTCAGTAGTTCCAACTGTTTCATTTCAGGTGTTAGTTGTGATGGCTTCCCTTTGAAGTGCAAGAGGCAAGAGTTTGTTCGAAAACCTCCATGCAGTTAGTTGGTGCCCGGTCATGCCCAGGTGCTCGCTGCCAGCATCTTCTAGCCTAAGGGCTTCAAGTTCAAGCGGAGTTGATCGAGTGCAGGCCTTCGAGCCTAAGCCAAACATTCTTAAGTGCCTTGGTAAATCAGTCCAGGATCGAATTTGGTAAAGGGCTCTCTACAGTCTCTCTTTTGTGTTGACGTCGGTGCCGCTTGATCTTTTTCCAAGTGGCCAAATGGCCACATGTCTGGACATATTTGTTGGGTTGTGGTTCATGTAGTGTTGCGGAAGTTCGTCCCCATGCACCAACTTCAAAACTGCCAGGATTGGCAAAGGGCCTGACGACAAGAAGAATGCGGACAAGTACACCGCGCGTGCAAAGCAATCCATCGTGTTTCAAGCAGCGTCCCAGGCATGGGCATCAGGTGTGCCTTGGGCTGAGGCGTTGCAGCTGGCTGAACGTGCTGTAGAGAAAGCTAATCCACGGGCGAAGCCCAAACCAAAGTCTTCTCCCAAGGTGAAGGCCAAGCCTAAAGCAAAGGCCCATGCGAGATGATTTGGATGTATTACCATTTCGGTTCGTGTGTTGATGTTGGTGTGGTAGCTTTACTGCAGCTACAGCTGGAACTTCCTGGATTTGCCATTGGTTGTATTGATTATCATTTGCAATTTGAATTTACTTTGGGTCCAATGCTTTTTGGACACTTCAGACCGGCCAGTTTCATCACTTTTTGCCACAATTTGATGCCTTTGCAGGGGTGGTGAGAAGCACCTAGGGTTCGTGCACCTCAGGGACGTTTGTGCAAGTTTTCATAGTTCTAACATTGCGTGGATGTGATCAGATTGGGTTCAAACCATGGTATGGTGCATGAATCCTACTTAAGTTTCGCCACTTGCTGAGGGGGTCCTGGAGCCCTGCCGGTGGTGTCGGCTTTGTCCATTTTGTTAGAAAGACTTTCTGAGAAAGGTTTGCTAAGGCTTGCCAAGTGGTGGATGTTACGTGGAACTCGCATCGTTGGGTGGGTGATAAAACCTTAAGCCCTAAACCCTAAACCCTAAACTAGCTGGTAAAAAACGGGCAGCATTCCGTTAATAAAAACTATTAACATAAAACCTTTGACATTTAATTAAACCATGTTTGCGGAAAGTGGCGGATGTTAGGTAGAATCCGCCACTTAAGACTAAGTAAGCACCAGTCATCGGAAGGCTAAACCCTAAACCCTAAACCCTAAACTAGCTGGTAAAAAACGGGCAGCATTCCGTTAATAAAAAATATTAACATAAAATCTTTAACATATCATTAAATCATGTCTGCCGGAAGTGGCGGATGTTAGGTAGAATCCGCCACTTAAGAGTAAGTAAGCGCTAGACCCTCAACCCTAAACCCTAAACTACCTGGTAAAAAAACGGGCAGCATTCCGTTCATTAATATATATATATCTTTAACATGTCATTAAATCATATTTACGGGAAGTGGCGGATGTTAGGTAGAACCCGCCACTTAAGACTAAACAGCAACGGCCGAAAGGCATTCAGCACCTCAAGGCCCAAGCCCGCAAACCAGTTAGCTGAATTTTTGAAAGTTAGCATAGTTTACCGTACACAGACTTTAATGGTTAAAGTGACGGATTTGACAGACATTCGCCACATGAAGAAAGTGCCAACCATGGAAAAGGTATTCCCTCATAATCTCATTCCAGTTGATGCCAAAAAAACAAAGAACATTGTTGTTAATGGGTGAAGCTCAAGAATCAACATCTGACATTTGGATGTATCTTAACGTACTTGTTTCGTTTGTGTTTTAATCAATGTAATGCTTCATTACATTTTGGCTCAAGTAAGCATTCAGCTTATTTTCAAAAGGAAACGCTTTTTCCCACCAGCCATGTTTCGTTGCTTCAACACTGGGTTCACTCAACAACAGCCTCGTTGCTTTTTGCACTCGTTTTGCTTTACTTCACTGGTTGGTTTTTCAACCCCTTTTTTCCCCCGGGGGGGTGTGGGCTGTTTTTCCTATGTGTTCCCTGAGAGTTGTCAACCAAACTATTTTCACAGACAATTTTTTGACTTTCATGCATGTCATCCATTTTCCTGGGGCGTCGGCCTGATGGCAGCAGCCTGATATTGGCACGACCGCATGGAGCTCCCACACGTGTGGGGACAGTGAGGTTCAGATCGATTTTCTTCGCTTTGGGCCCAGATCGTCGCATTCGCAGTTGCATTTTGCTTCATTTAGGTCAACTGGACTGGCTCCATTTGAGAAATTCCAACGCACGCTTGTTGTTACTGTTTGAGTATTCATCAGCTTCAGCTGTACAATCTCCTCAAGTGCAACGTGTTCGAGCCCCAGGATCTCCAACAGTGTCAAGTGGCCCATCGGTATCTAGCGATTCAATTGTTTCATCCAGTGACAGTTCAAATGAATCCCAGTGAGACAGAATGGATTCTGATCTCGGAGTCCCAAAAATCAGATGCATGTCCAGTTGCACCTAAGAGCGCAGCACCATTGCCAGTCCCTCATAGTCACCTGGCGCATCGACAGTATCCTGGTCCAGCATTGACACTTGGTGGTTTACCCATTCCTATCCCTAAAGCTCGGGCAAAATCAGCAACAGTTCCTCTGCCTGTTCGGACTCCGCTTTTAGGGGATGCAACAGTTTTAGGGCCTACAGATCCTTCTCTTTCGAGATCGTTGCCATCAAGCCGCACTGGACTCAGCGTTCCACTCTTGCCAGTGGGGACATCAAAAAGACAGCCGACCAAGACGTCAGGTCAATTATTGCGGTTAAAACATCCCTCTCAATCGGATTGGTTGGTTCAGCAATGGTCTGCCATACTGAAAAATTTGGGTGAAGTTTCAACAGTTGCAGTGGCTTTGCAAACCTCCAGTCATGCCCCGCAACATGCTGCGCGACTCTTGGACCAGTTCGCACCTTCAACACTGTTGCGGTATTTTCAGGCTTGGACCAGTTTTGCCAAGACCCTCAAATCCCTGGATTTATCATTGGGTACACTGACGGAGGCCCAATTGGCCGATGCACTGGTTACGACATCACTTGCCAAGAGCTCCGATTGCTCATCTGGTTGTCAACTGACAATTAAGGCTATTCGCTGGATTTCCACCCATGCAGGTGTGGAGCAGCTCAAAATTGCGTGGCGCCCTTTGATCGAGAGTTTCTTAAAAAGCAGAATTCCCAAAGAGCTCAAGGAATCCATCCCCATTTCTCTGTATACGATTGTGCAATTCGAGCGGAGAATCCTTATGGCAGCTTGTACACCAGTCGAGACTATTATACTGGGGTCTATTCTGGCATGTGTGTGGGGTGGACTCAGATTTGCTGACGCACAAAGGTGCAGTTTCAACAGCTTCTGCTTTGATGGGGAGTCGTTTCGAGCGACCTGTTGGCGAACCAAGACATCATCCCGGGGTCAGCCATGGGGATTTGTGGCGCATGGCCTTTTGTCCCTGGGTACATATTCATGGACAGAGAAATGGCTGTCCACATTGGATGAGTTGTGGCATCACGCAAAAACAACTGACTTGGACATGCCAGTCCCGGACTTTTTATTTCCGGTCATGCGTCAAGATGGTATTGAGTTACCATGGTCAGCAATGCAATACGCAGAGGCTTTGAAGTGGATTCGCCATATGGCCAGGCTCCCATGGAAGAGCACCCCACAAACTGCTGACCATTTATCGGTCCATTCAATGAAGTCCACGCTTCTTTCATGGGGGTCGCAGCTCATGGCTGATGGCCAGGTCTCCGCCGAAGAGAGACTTCTTCAAGGCCATCATCGTCAAAGTGCCTCACGGAGCTTGCGGCTATACAGCCGTGATGACGTCCACGGCCAGCTGGCATACCACAAAAAGCTGATTGACAGTATCAGACGTGGAAAAAGGTTTGTCACACCCCAACACCGAGGTGGACAGTTACCAGTTGTGGAGCCGGCAGTCCAGATCGAGTTCTTCAGAAAAACCTCTATGGCGAGGCAATGGCTCTGCTTCGATTTCAACAAGCCAGTTGAGGTGCCCGAGTCGCCCCAACTTCCAGCGGCTCACGATGAACAATCTTCGTCAGGGAGTTCTGACACTTCATCCTCCTCGGACTCCTCCGATTCAGAGGTTTCCAAAGAGGTTTCAGCACGGGCAGCAAAACGCCCTAAGATGGTGGTTCCTATGGACGAGCCAGACGAAGTGATGGTTGCGTCTGTTTCCTGTGTTCAACACGCAATGATTGGCACAACAAAAGATTGGTTCCCCTATTACCAAGGGCGACACTACCAAGCCGCTTGTGGAGCCCGCTTGGATCCGGATCGGGCTCGATTTGCCCACAGTGCTGACCCTAGCTTGCACCTTTGCCAAAGACCCGCTTGTGTCAAAGCCTGGAAGGCCATGCTGGTATAACCGATCGGCCGCTTGCCATCGAAAAAATGCAGCCGTGTGCTGCTCTTCTGGCGGACCAGCAATACTGATCAGTTTTCACAGTTTCTCCAATGGTATGTGCAGTGTTCCCTAATGCTTATGGGTTTTGTAGGTTTTGTTATTCAAAACTCCAGTCTCGGGGACCGAGCAATTGCAATGGAGTGCACATCCAAGTGATGACCATGTTATGACAACAAGGTGTTTTCTGAACAGCTATCCTAGCCATTGAGCGTTTATTTTGTTGTTTCGTTACGTCGTGCTGGCTCAGCTCACTGGACAGTGATGCAGTCTGACTTGATGCGGCATTACGTAGCAGCACCATCATGGATAAATATGTTTTATCACAAATTCCCACCATGAATTCATTTGATGTCGCCCGAGTTTCAACCATCTATACCCATAATCATGTCCCGGTCATTTCAGTGTTTGACTATCATATTCTTTCTTTCCCTTCGACCCCGTCTCCATGGCAGAACCTTTGGAAACGGTTTTAGCTGATGCTGGAGTGGAACCGGCACTAGCTTCAGGGATTATGGCCGATGGTTGGACCCTGAGAACTTTCCGAGAAATAGCAGCCACTGCAGCAGAGTTTACAGATGCTTTATTTTCTGAACTCTGCCCTCACAATGACCACTTGACCCTCTTGCAAAAAGCCTCCATCAGATCAGCTTGGAGGAGCGCACAACAGCCAGAAACACTTCAAGGTTCCTCTACTGATGGTTCAGGGATGGCTGCACCCTCAGGATCGGTTGCAGATGGATCATGGTCAGATGTTTTCCCACCAAAGTTGAACAATGAAACGGTAACATCGTTGAAGAAGCAATTTTTGCAGAATTATCCGTCAGAGGTTTTGACCTCAGATACCCAGCCAAGCTCCAGATTACTTGCCCTTGCACATCAGCTCACACAGAAGAAGGACTTCAAGTGGCTTCCTTGGAAATTCCGCATGTCAATGTCTCGTTCAGAAGACATGGCCATGAGCAGGGCATCCAAAGCCCCGCGCTTAGAAAACCTGCAGCTTCACCAGCTATTGATTGATGAAGTACCTTCTTTGGAAATAAATAACCAATCGCTGGGTCTGAATGCGCTTCGCCAGATGTTTGAGATCCATAATTATGCGTGGGCCCTTGTGGGAGCATGTCATTTACACAGACTCCGGGCATATACCCTGAAATTCATGAACCTTCTTTCAGTGCGCCTGGACCAGGACTCAGGTTTACGAGCTCCCAATATGTTGGAAGCCCAGCAGGCCGATAAAACCATTTGGTATCACATTGCCGAACTTTGTGAATCTTCCACATGGTCATTGGATGATGCACTTTTGGAATTCACTCAGAACAGAGGGGATCTAGCCACACTCCTGCAGCCCAGACCACGGTTTCAAAAGATTGCGCAAGCTCCAGCCAACGTTCCTAGCAAAGGCAACAAGGGTCCCAAAGGTGGCTCCAAAGGCGCAAAGTCTTCCAAAGGTGGCTCCAAACCGGGCGTCCGATGGCTCTCCGAGGTTTGGCGAGGCTCTCAGAAAAAGACCCTCTGTATGAGATTTCAATCCGGCAAGTGCTCCAATAAAGATTGCCGCTATGAACATGCTTGTGGGTACCCCAAACCTGACGGCACAGCTTGCGGCGCCAACCATGCCGCGATGGACCACGACAAAACCCCACACTGACTTGTGGCAGCAACACATTCGTTACAGACTGCAGTTGCATCGCCACCAGCCGTCCAAGACTCAGAGCTTCCTCCACTAAGTGGTTGTTTAGTTGCCAAAGAGTTGCAATCAGTATCACCTATGTTTCCAACTCCTACAAGGGAGGATCAGGAAGTATCACAGGCCATTTTGGCCCCACTATCAACAGTTGCTGACATGGAGACGGACCCCAATATTCCGACAGAACATCGGCCGGATCCTCAACCAGAGCAGTCTGCCTATCGACAAGAGCATGATCATGTGGTGACTTCGAGTTTGAATTCTTCAATGCACAATTTTTCTCAAGAATTACTCACTCCATGGAGTTGTCAGGGTTCAAAGATATTTTTGGATATTTGCAGTGGCGTGGATGCACCTCTCTCTTCGGCAGTTTCCGGATTAGGTTTTCCAGCTCTCTCCATTGATTTGTTAGTGGACTCCCGAATGGACTTATTGGATGATTCCTTCTACGAACAACTCCTACGTCTTTGCGGATCTGGAGTGGTGGGGTATTCAGCAGCATCTCCTTCATGTACGGAATATAGCCTGCTAAAACTTCGGCCCGGGGGACCCAAGGCCATTCGAACACCAGATATGCTGAATGGAGTTCCTAATTTGACCCCAGCAGAGACGCAAAGATTGCAAGATAGCGCCACGCTCCTGGATCGTTGTGTCACCTCAGTTTCAGTAACGTATTCTTCGGGCGGTCATGGACATATTGAACAACCCTCGGGAGCCATGAGTTGGAGTGAAGATTGCACCCAAGAATGGATTCGCCTGTCAGGATGTGCCCTTATTCTTCTAGCGGCATGTGCATTCACCTGGAATATCATGAAGACATGGTTGTTTGCTTCATCATTTCAACCTCTGGCAGAGTTAGCAGCTACGTGCAATCATGGACCCAAGGCGCATCCCTCTATTGCAGGAGTCAAAGATGAACATGGCGTCTATTTGAGCAGACGATCAGCGGCCTATCCTAAGGCACTTGCAGAGGCCTTTGCGTTAAAAATTTCAGTGCTCCTTACTCCCCTGGCTACACCAATTTCATGGTCCAATGTTTTCCATTTATTTCCCATCAAGCACTTGTTTCAAAACCCCAAAGGTTTTGTGGATGGGGGAGGCCTGCATTCCACTCCAGATTGGTCCAAACCACCTGATCAATCATCTAACTTGTTTAGATCAGTCCGTGATCACTGGATCCCCCGTATCCTTAATAACAATTGGCATAAGATGCTTGTTTCCCATTTTTTACAAAAGAAAACAGATCCCCCTTTTTCAGAAGGGATCATCAACGACTTCCGCAGTTCTCTTGATTCTTTGCTGCCACTGACATCACCATTGGACTGGCAAGTTCGAGAGGACCAGCCCTTGTGCCTCCACGCCCTTGCAGCAATCAGCCAATATATGCATGACCCTGATGTTCATTTATTTCCGGATCTGATAGCGGGGGTATCTACTGGTTACAATGAGGATATTCGTCCATCCCATGTTTTTGCTATGAAGCCGGACAAAGAAGATCTTGCTGCACCAGATCTATCCATCCATTTGACAAATTGGAAGAGCGCAGAGGATCACCCTGATGTCACACAACAACTGGTGGACGAAGAGATCTCCAAGGGTTGGCTCATTTGTTTTGATGGCAGTGTGGAAGATGCCAAACAACGTTGGCCGCATGGGGTTGCCATAGGCAAACTTGGCGTTGCCGTCTCGGATTCACGACCACCTCGGTTAGTCGTTGACTATACAGTATGCGGAACAAATCCCAACTGCAACATTCAGGAGCATCAACAACTGCCCAGCGCTAAAGAGGTGCAGCGCTGCTACCCTTTAAGGGAACATTCAGAGGAGCTGGGCGCCCTAGGCCTAGATGCCAAATCTGCCCACAAATTGTGCGTCATCAAGGAAGATCATCGTGGATTAGTGGGCTTCAGTCTGAATAACAAGTTATACTTTTACAAGGTCTGCCCCTTCGGAGCCAAGTTCTCCGCCCATTGGTGGGGGAGGTTGGGGGCCTTTTGGACACGGCTCCTACATCTGGTAATCTATGTGGCTCACTCCTTATTTCTATTTGTCGATGATTGGCTTTTGGTTCAACGTATGGATATTCTCCCCGTCACTGCAACTTTAGTGACACTTGTCATTCAAGCTTTCCGATTGCCCATCAGCTGGCGCAAAGCAGAGTTGGACAGGGAGGTCAGTTGGATTGGCTGGAACCTAAATTTTTCCACCGGTCTCATCCGATTGCAGCATGCCAAACGTGACAAGCTATTGAAACTAATTGCAGACCTGCTCCAGCGCCCCAAGACCTCTAAGAAACAAATTGAGAAGTTTGTGGGTTTGCTCCTCTGGGTAACGCAAATCTTTCCTGTCATGCGAGCATTTATTCATCACTTATATGCAGACTTGTACAAGGCCCCAGCCACTCTTTTTTCGGTGGACCCTGGGTACTGGTTAACCACAATAGCCTGCTTGTCTGACAACCTTCAATTCACGATCAGACCAGTGGGTACAGCCATACCCATTGGCGGCAAGCTTTTATCAGTGCGTCATCAACCAGTTCAATCCCTGGAGGATGTTAGAAACTGCCGTTTATCCGACAAGCGGATCTGGTTACGAATCCTTGACCCGACTTCCAATAAACGATCACTGAGCACCAGCTCTCAAAGGATTCTACGTATGTACCAAGAATGGCTTCAACATGCAACTCCTTTCGTTTCAATGAATCCAAAATTGCCATGGGCGGGTGAGGCAGCCGCAGACGCTTGTGCCCATGGAGATTGCTGCCAAGTTGGAGGTTTCTTACGTTTCGCCAATGGAGATATGAGATGGTTCAGTGAGCAATGGTCATCCGCAGATTTTCTAGCCCTGGACATCCCTGTCAATTCAGATATGCAGAAAGATATCAGCTCATATGAAACTTTTGCACAATTCTGTTTACTTTACGCTCTGTGCTATTTTCTTCCTGGCCAGCGAGTTTCCATTACACTAAAAAGCTTGAGTGACAATACTGCTGCCGAAGCCAATTCAAATTTTTTATTTACCACCAAAGCTCCCTTGTGCTATTTTGTGGAACGATTGTGTATGTTAATTTCAACAGTTCATGCAGAACTCGATGTCAGCCACATCGCGGGACATTCCAATGACCTTGCTGACCGCATTTCCAGATTGCCTTTGGAGGATCCATTACCTCCTGATTTGAAAGCATCCGAACGCATCCGTCTGCCTCTTTCCGAGATTTGGTTTCCATTTAATACGCCAACTGTATTCCCGAAGGGATCCAAAGTGGCTTGGAAACTTCCAGTTTCACGCTTCTGATTCCCATTTTTCATCGCCAGTCCTTCATTCACACTTTTTTCGAAGGGGTTTTGTTTGGCGTTCAGAAGTCCTTGTTTCGATAGTTGAATTTGGGTGAAATGGTCCATCGATCCAATTTGACTTCTGATGTGAAGCTGTCACATCTTACTGGCAATGAAAAAACAAGTGTGGGAATCTGGCGCGTTACGTTCCATCGGTTTTCACGTTTTTCGTGCATCCATGCTTGAATTGCGAGTTTGTCCGATGTGGATTCACAGCAGCGGTTTTCAGTTTTGTGTTTAGATTGTTTTGGTTTTGTGTTTTATGTTTGTCTGTATGTTTTTATGTTTATATATATATATGTTCTGGTCAGTTTATATGTCAGTGAATGCTCGCTTCCTCAAGCTGTAGCAAATGAATGCTTACTTGTTAGAACTCTTAACGTACTTGTTTCGTTTGTGTTTTAATCAATGTAATGCTTCATTACATTTTGGCTCAAGTAAGCATTCAGCTTATTTTCAAAACCCTCCCTCCCACTCCTTGTTATTGACTTTATGGTCTCTTCTTTCTCATTGGTTATTTTGATACCCAAACCTTTGTTTCTTCTAGCTGTTGCTTTCCCAAATTTCTATGTCATGACCATAAGTCACATATAGCAAGAGTGGTATACTATTTCACTGGTAGTCCTTTGCCTACCAATTTGCAGCTTTGTACCTACTGCATCCGCTCGTATGCATCCGATTTCTTGCATTCACCCGAGCTTTGCCAGCTGTGTCCACAGCTATGCATCCAAGCATCCGACAGTAGACCTCGATTCTCGGGTGTTCATTCATGCGGATTTATCCTCCATTTGATCATTTGCCTATTTTTTTTTGTTGCTTTCAACAGCGCTGAACACCAGCTTGTGCTCGAGCTTCACATGGTCTCACCATCTGCGTTGTCCTCCTATAGGAGACATTCCGACTCTAACCAAATTGGTTTCCGAATCGATGGGTGAAATGGTCCATCGATCCAATTTGACTTCTGATGTGAAGCTGTCACATCTTACTGGCAATGAAAAAACAAGTGTGGGAATCTGGCGCGTTACGTTCCATCGGTTTTCACGTTTTTCGTGCATCCATGCTTGAATTGCGAGTTTGTCCGATGTGGATTCACAGCAGCGGTTTTCAGTTTTGTGTTTAGATTGTTTTGGTTTTGTGTTTTATGTTTGTCTGTATGTTTTTATGTTTATATATATATATGTTCTGGTCAGTTTATATGTCAGTGAATGCTCGCTTCCTCAAGCTGTAGCAAATGAATGCTTACTTGTTAGAACGCAACATTTGACCCTTGCAACCTCCAACGTGGGTTTGCAAACTTAAGGAAAAACCAGTGTGGAAGAGCGGGTTGTGGGGGTTCAATTTGCCAGGGTTCTTGTCACCCAGGACCAGTTGCTTGTGTTTCAAGCTCACGTTTACCATGTGCAGGTTTCAGGATGGTGACCCATGTGATGGAAAGTGTGCACCGCTAGGCTACCGCTGACTGTCTCCGCAGCAAGGTTTTTTTGGGTGGAAAAGGGTCCCGATACCGGTGATTCTGATGTGTGCTGCCAAACGGAAGTCTGTTGGGGGTGAGAAGAGGGCGGCGAAGGCCGCCAAACCCGCCCCTGCTGAAGCTGTGACTTGCAAATGTACACAAGCCCTCATCCAGTGGCTACTCGGACAGGTGTGGTGACAGCAAAAATTTTGTCGCCAACAAGTCAGTGCTTCCAGCCAGTTTGAACATTGATCCCAGTGCAGTGGTGCCAAGGCTTCAGGACAAGGTCATTCCACTGGGCGGAGTCAGTGTCTACTTCGAGCAGACTTTCACTAGCAAGGCTTGGTCCATCGGGCGCATGGGCCTGGGTTTCAATTTCACTTCTTGTATTGTGCATGTGTGGCATGTCGCTTGGCCCCATTTGCAGGAGAAGTTGCGTGAATTCGCAGCTTGGATCGATGAGAGCTTCCCACGAAACCCAACGTTACTTGCTGAGAATTCAGGACTTGCTCATGTCCTTTGAGCTTGCGTGCAAGATCCACGTTTAAGCGCGGCTAGTGTGTGATTTTTGGGGCTGAGGCTCGAATACGCTTCAGACTTCAGGGTTGGTGGCTGCTACTTGCGGCCCCACATGCTTGGGTACCGATCGGACTTCGGATATGCTGGGTGCTGCGAGCCAGAGGAAATGATCACACTTGCCCAGTTGATCATGGCAGAAGGGTCCATGACCAAGATCATGTTGTTTAGAGATTTTAGAATGTGATTGCTCGGTTTGAAGTTTTGTGCTATCAGATTTCTTTGCAGTAAAAAAACTAGCACAGTGCATGTCCAGTGCGAGGTTTCGAACAGATGCCAATCTTGGAGGAACCGAGAAGGTTGCAATCTGTGACCCCACAAATGCAGCCATGCTGGAGAGCAAGTACACGGCCATGGCATCGCTCCACCCAGAGTGTTGCATGTCAAGCCTTTGACTTGTCAGCGTTCGCTTGTTCATAGATTCTTGTGTTAGTGTGTCAGCGTTTAGTAGTTGCCGCTCCACGGTGGCAAGTCCGAGATATGAGGTTCTGAGCTTCCTCCCTTCAGCGTGGGCTACGTCAAGGGCTGGCACCGTTGCACGGCTTTGCTTGGGCTCCTCGGTGGATTGTATGAGCTCCAGTTCCCTCTTGCAGAAGTGCCAGATCATTTCAAGGCCAACTTCATTACATGAGGATTGTTTTTGAATGAGGGTGGATATGTTCGGTTGGCCCTGGATTGATTGGCCCAGTTTTTTGCTATGTATTTGATGTTTTTTTTGTGCCATGATTGTTCCTTTCAGACAGGCGTCCGTGAAAACCATCCATGGAACTGTGGGCTCCTACGCCACGCCCCGTGAGCAAGTGTTTGCGAACAGGGGGATTACGCTTGCCTCTACCGGCACTCGCAGAGCCCCGAACTGCTTCGTGTTTTTGAGACAGGTTGAAGTGCTCCAACGGGCAGGGCATGGAAATGCCACGCAACAGTTCGAGGACACTTGTCATTTTCAGCCTTTCCTTTTTTCAGTTTTTTTGGACAACTCATGCTGATTGCTTGCATTTTGAATTCAAGTTTGTGCCCGGCTTGTTGGTTTTGTTGCCTTGTAGTATGGCTGCAACATGCTGCACCTTTAAGATGCATGCACATGCACAGATGTTGTGTGCGAGGAATGGGGCAATGCGACCGCCATCAGTCGAGCCTTTAACATCGGAAAGCAGGAATCGAACGCAGTGTCAAACCTCCAGTCCAATGTCACCATGGACACCCGGCTCCGATTGAAGGCTGTCATCAAGACAAAGGGCATGCGGAACTTCCTCCATCATGAAGTGATTGGACGTGGTATCTTCAACGTTGGGTTTTCCAGTGCCAGTGGACCGACCGAAGGGTGGGTGAGCGCCATGACGAACACCGACAGTTCTGAACTGGTACTTGGGCTGATCGTTTTCCCCCCCAATTTGTTCTCGTTTCGCAGCTGCTTTTGTTGGGTCAACCTGTTTGTTCTTTGTCGTCTTTGTCCTTCCGTTCCCATGCGTCCGTTCCCGACTTAGCAAGGTTCTTTTCCTGATTGAGCGCATGTGCTGTGACTGGGACCATCAAGCTATCAAGAAAGCATTCACCTACAAAGATGCCTTGGCTCTCCACCAGTCGACTGCCATGTTCCTTCATTTCTTGGGCCGGCTCAAGCAGGTATGCCCAGTGTCAGATGAGGTAGTGGATCAATTGAAGTCTCAATTCCTGCTTGGAGGGGTCGATCCTGAACTGCAAGTGACGGCAGAACAGTCAGTACCCCCTGGAGACCTCAAAGCGGTTGGAGTGTTCAGGCAAGGTTCTGTGATGCAACCACCCTGTCACAACAAATGAATTGACTGCAAGTTGTGTTTTTTTCCACTTATATATGTTTTCCAGTTTGATGTCACGTTTCCTTGCTGCTCCACATTGCAGGGCTTTGTTGGTTAAGCGCGAGACCGAGATTCAGATCCAGGCCGATGAGAAGGCGCAGGAGTTGGCCAAGAAAGTGGCTGCTGCCACGTTGGAGCAACTGCGTGCGCAGCTGACTGCAGACGTGGAGAAGTTCCGCAACCAGCTCCCATCCAAGTTGGATGAAACTGTGGAGTTTGCGAAGGATATGAAGTACATTCGGGATCGCCAGATGAACTTCTTTTATCATATTCATCACGGTGTTTGGGGTAATTTCCTTGATGTTCATTGTTTTCACATTTTGGGTAGCTGTTTTTTTGTCTACCAGTAATTTTCTGGTCGATGGCATTTTTGCGCCAGCTATATCAGGAAAGGCCACGAGTTCGTGAAGGGTTGGATGCAACAGAATTGCCGTGCGCAAGTCTGTGTGGATGAGAAGGGTGATCACAACCTGAAAGCAGCCCTCGGCGACTTCACCAAGTATGTTGCCCAGCGCCCACAAACCGATGGTCATGTGTATCTTGCCTTGGTTTGTCTTGTTTGAAGTGACCTGACTTGACTTGACCTGGCCTTACTCAATGAGCAAGTGACCGAACTTTCAGCATTTATTATGGGAAACCACCTGTGGAGTAAGTTTAGTAAACTTGACATGACTCGACCTGACTGGACTTGACTGTTGTATTGTTTTTGAAAGTGGGGATCATCGCTGGTTTCCTTGACAGCATGCCCACAGGTTTGTGGTTGCTTGCATGGATTGCACCGTTTGGCCTTCGAACAACAAGTATGTCATGGACTGTTTGGACCTGATGCACAACGTCTGTGCCTTGAGTTCTCGGAACGTTGGTCATATCCAATTGCCGATGCACCACTCAAGCACGACCATGCAGGCAATCATCAAGCATCGTCGCAAGCTGGAAGATGCAATGTTGGCCACTAACTCTGAGATCAGGCATGGTGTCACGCTTATGTTTGCAAAGGATTCCACCCGATCTGGCTCTGATCGACGGCCAGCCACCCAGAATGTTTTGACCCTGTTCTCGGACAAGTCGTGCAAGTGGAATGAAAGTGAAGCCTTGCAGAGTGGCTGCATTGGGCCCTTGCCTTTGATTCGCGTGTCGGACATGCAAGGGTACGACCAAGAGACAGGTGCCAGACCATCAGCTGGAGCTCGCTTAGAGCAGATGCTTCTTTACACTTAATCAGTTTTTTGTTTTTAGTTAGATAAACATGTATTTTTATATGTATATTATATATATATATACATATCCATATTACCATGTTTCAAAATTTTCATTCTTTATCATGGTTTGTTTTCACACGTTTCATTCACTATGTTACGAAGTGTTTGGTGGTGCAGTCATTGGCAATTTCTGCCTGTTTTGTTTCTGAAGCTTTGGCGCAGGAAAGGTGTTGAGTGCCACAAGGCGATCATCGAGGGTTATTTGCAGAGCATGGAGTTTGGCCAGGAGGACGTGGTGATCTGGCTGGATGTGTGCCCAAACCAGTTCTTTGCCTCAATTTGATTCAGGTCGTGTTACAGTTTCCATTTTGCCATATGCTTTCTCATGTTTCAAGATTTGTTGTCCTGAAATGCTGGGAAAGTCCGTGAAACAGGTTTGCGGAGTTTGGTCGGGCTTGCGTGCAGCGAACGCTGGGTGGGCAAACCCAACCTCGTGTGGTCTACTATGGTCTCTTGAGAGAGGAGCACAAGAAGGTCATGGCGGAGATCGAAGCTGATGTCTTTAAGCATTGGGACAGCTTGGCATCATCCCCTTCAAAGACGCGACCACGTCCACCAGCTGAGGAGTTGAAGGTGGAAGGTTTGACCATGTGCACTTTCAGCGCTGCTACTGGTGCTTGTTGGCCGGATCATGTTTTGGAGAAGTTTCCAGCTCACAGTGCCGAACACAAAGAGCTTGCCGAGATGAAGAACAAGTTGTATGAAGAATTTCCCCGTCCATCTTCGAATGCTGCGTCTGCAGCTCCTGGTTCGGCGCCGCCACGGGTAGTTGGGAGGCCCGACTTCACCGATTCAGAGAACCCACCGTTGGATGTGGAGCGCATGATCGATGTTGAGACTGTGTCCCCACCTCCACCGGCTGAGAGGTGTGGTTTGGCTAGGGGGTCGATTAGTAGTTGGGAATGAATTAGGGCTTAGTAGTTGGGAATGAATTAGGGCTTAGTAGTTGGGAATGAATTAGGGCAGCAATTTTCAGGGGTCAATGGCGTTATGTGGTGGTGACTTTGTTGTTTGATACCGAGCCTTCTACATGTCAAAGATTGCAACTCTTTTTTGTTTTTTGGCGATTGACTTTGCAGGTTGGCATCAGTGGTGGGCAAACACGGCAGACCCTCGATCATTGTCTCAAAGAACTTTGACGTGTTCATTGGGAACGAGACCCAGGCAGCGGCTACTTACACAGCTTGTGAGCTGTTTGGCTTTGGAACAGGCAACTTCGAGTTCAAACTTGTCCATGGAGGAATCCGCGACTCAAGTGGATTGGCTTGGAGATTTCAGTCTGACACGGACATCGTGGCCGTGGATAAGAAGTTGTGTTGCATTGCCGATTTCATGCATCGCTGTGCCACGCAACAGGGCCTGGCTGACGTGGGCATCCAAGAGCACACCATCAAACCTAAGATGCATGCGGCTGTCCCTGGGTTTGAATTTGCAGTCACTGCACCACTTGTTGTCGGTGTGGGCCTGGGTGGTTTATAGTTGCTGCTTCTTGGTCGTTAACTGGTTTTGGTTGTTGGTTGATGCCTGTGGGGTTGGTGGTTGCTGGTTTGTGACTTGTTTTTTTTTTTGCGGTTCTTAGTGTGCCTTGAGTCATGTTTGTTTCCATTGTGTTGCTGTTCTCACTGTTTGTTGTCTGTTATTGTTTTTGTTTTTGTTGCTGTTGCTGTTGTTGTTGTTGTTGTTCTTGTTGTTCTTGTTGTTCTTGTTGTCGTAGTCGCTGTCTTTGTCATTGTCGTGGTTGTTGTCGTTGTGGTTGTTGCGGTTGGTCGTTGTCCTTGCTGTGGCAATAAGTAGTTCGGTTTTGCTCGTGATTTGGTTTCTGAATAGGTATATCATGATTTTGTTATTATTGTTGTTGTTGTTGTGGTTGTTGTTGTTGTGGTTGTTGTGGTTGTGTGGTTGTTGTTGTTGTTGTTGTGGTGGTGGTTGTTGTTGTTGTTGTCGTCGTCGTCGTCATGGTCGTCGCGGTTGAAATAGCTGTTGTTTTTTGTTGCGCGTGCCGTTGGCACCTTTCAGAGGGCAGCAAACAACAAGGTTGACGACGAAGAGCCAACCAACACGGACCCAACAAACGAATAACAACAACGCCAACAACCGCAGCAACAACAAGAACAACGACAACATCAACGACAACCGACATCAACAACAACCACGAGGGCAACAACGACTTCAGTCACAAAAAATGTCCATGACAACAAAAGCTGCAACATACCACAGAACTAACAAAAGCAGACACGCAAAGAAACAACGCTCAGCAACAAACAGACAGATGGCAGCAACTGCCGCATCAATGCGCAACCGTAGCCGCAACAAGAACCAACCACAACAAAACAAAATCTCAATCATCACTGACAGCAGCCGCAAAATCAGCAAAAACCGCAACCGCAATAAAAAATAACCTCTGCCAGGGCCACAGCAAGGACAACACCAGTGTCAACCACACGCAACAAAACAACATCAACAAGAGTCGCAAAAACAACAGCCACACACGCAAAGAATCACCATCAACAACGCACATGAAACCCTTCACAGCAAGTAGCAGCAAGCGACCCCCAAACAGCAAGAAGCAAGAACGGACAACAACGCAAAACGACAGCACCGGCGAATATAATACTAAGCAAGAACAACAAAAGCAACCGCATCCGCCTTACAGCACCAGTAACAAAAAACACAACAACAATATCGGCTTTAATAAAACCAAGTCAGATGATAACATCCACCTCAACACGCTGAAACAAGCGACGGTTTCTGTTATTGCCGCTGTTGTTGGAATTTGTGATGTTGGTGCTGTTGTTGGTGTATGTTACTGTAGTGGTTGCAGTTGTTGCTGCTGCCCTTTGTTTTGTTTTTTTCTAATATTTTAGCATCTCGGGTGTTTGTTCGCCTCTTTCTCTGAAACTTTTTGTTGACTGAATGTTGTTATTGTCGTTGTTGCCGCTTGTGTAGCTTTTATTTCTCTTTTTTGTTTCCATTTTGTTTTTGGAGGAGGCTGGTGAGAACGAGCCGCTCCCAGTTCCTTTCCGGTACACAGTGGAGCCTTTGGAATCGAAGCGTACCCACGTGTTTAGGCCCAATCCTTTGACTGGGAACAATGTCGAGATGAAGGTCGCCAGTGTCGGAGCTTTATGGATCGGAAACTGGGACAAGCTTCCAGAGAGCAAGATGGCGAAGTGCGTTTGGGAGGCTTTTGCAAGGGGCGAGCGGACAGTCACTTTTGGGTTCGTTCAAGAACGTTGTCATGCAGTCTAAGACATCAGGATTTGCAAGTGTTCAAAGGGACCAAAATATTTTAGATTTATTGATGGTAGTGTGAGACCATCCCTGATTGAAAGCTTGATCGAAGTAAGCTCTTTGCCGTTTGCTTTTGTAGGTGGAGCTGCGAGGGAACAAGCTGTCCGCCATCAAGCCCAAGATGTTTCTGACTTGCGCCCTGGCCCTGCCAAATGATGCATGGTGCAAGCTGAAGTAGATCATGTTGTCAACCCTGGAGCACGGTTCGGTGCACAAGGGGTGTATCCGAAGATTTTGGCGAGATTAAGGCAGGCAGACTCCAGCTTTGATATCATTCAAGTAAATTTGGGTTTTGGTTTGGAAACTTCTTCAAAACCAACGCCAGAGGTGTTGACAGCTGGAGTGTTCTGCCATGAATGCCTTGTATGAGCATGGTTTGTAGTGCCTTTGACGTAGGCGCTGTGGTATGAAGCTGGCAGTTCAATCGATCTTCAAAGGAAAACATGCCACTGCATCTAGATCATTGCATGGTGGTCTGGCTGAAACTAATATTCACACATATTTTGTATTTTGGATCTAGTTTTTTGATAAGAATGCGCCGGCTATGTGATTTAAAGCCTGTGCAGTTTGAGATCAAGCGTTTTTGCAATTGATTCTTTGGCCGGGTCCGTGTTTCAAGTCGTCATGCCTGTGCTGCCTGCGCCTGTTACCACATTAACCGATTCCGATAATGATGGTACTGAAGGTGCAGCAAAGGCCAAAACACGGTGCAAGGGCAAGGCCAAGGCCAAGGACCTTGTCCCGACTTCGAAGTCCAAGGTGCTGAGGAGGCCTGCTGCTTCCTGTGAGGAGTCGACGGCAGCTCCCCCGACTGCAGACGAAAAAGCAGAGGATCCAGCTCCGAAGGCCAAAACTAAGGCCGACTCATTGTGCTCTTTGTTCAACAAGTTTGACATTGACATTTTGCTGCGGTTCTGATGGTTCAGCTCCAGTTTTCTGTCTCATGCGTTTTGTTTTTGTATCATCCATGGAGCCATAGGGCTTCGTCTTGCGGGAGGCAAAGGGAGCGATGAAGCGCCCTGCGGCCTCGTTTGAAGCTTCAGAGGCAGCTGCAAAGAAGGCCAAGGTCCAGGTCTTCTGTTACAGGAAGCTCAACACGTGGGCCATCAAGATAGATGGCAAACAAGTTTTGAGCGCAACTTGGTTCTCATGAGTGCTCATCTCGTAATGCCGGGCTTGAAGTCGCTGACTGACCGTTTTGAAATTAAGGTAGGTGGCAAGAACTTTCCATTTGAGAAGGCCAAGGAGATTGCTGTCCTGTCCTCAAAGGCATTTTCTTGAGACCCCGGATTCTTTCATATGAGTTCAATGTCATTGAGGATATTTGCCATGGTCACCTCAATAGTGGCGACGATGTCAAGACGGTCAAAGATATGGCCGTAGCTTGCCATCACAGCGTTCAGTTTGTTTATTTTTCCCTGCTTTGCTGACTTTTGGTGAGTACATTTCTCATGGTTTGACGCGTTTGATTGTTTTGTCATTTGATTGACAGTTCGCCCGCACGTTAACATTTTTCAGGCGCAACTGATGACCGCGGCCCGTGAGAGCTTGGCAGGCTTGCAGGGGGATAGTTTCTGAACGTTTTCGCACTTGCTGGATTTGTTTTCTTTGTTATTTATCATTGTTTGTGTGCTTCGTCATTGTTTTGTGCTTGGAGGCACCGAAGCTGCCCCTGGCCCTGAGACCGGTGTTGCTTCTGGCGCTGGTGGAGCTGCAGCTGCAGCTGCTAAATCTGAGCCAGCTGAGAGGGTTGAATCTGAGGAAGTCGCGGCCACAGAAGAGCCAAATGTTGATGACTCACATGATCAGCAGGAGGGCGGGGAAGAGGAAAAGAAAGAGAATGATCCCTCTTTGGATGTCGACTGAGAGTGTTGAGAGTAGCAGCAGTTGCGTGATGTTGCCTGAAGATACCTGAAGAGCAAATCGCTTGGAAAAGTGTCTTGCGAGCTGGTCTTGTGAGTTTGCAAGATGTTTCAAGAGCCAAATGTTTTGCGAGCATAAGGACAGTTTGACACCTCACGCTGGGCTTCACCATTTGCGAATCCAATCTTAGTTTACGGAATGCTATTTCACACGTTTTTGGGGAAGATGCTACTCTTGTCTCCTGGAATTGCCTCCTGGAATGAATGACCAGGAGAGCCTGTCAGTGAGGGTTTTGAATGTAACTTCATGTGAGATGTGTGGTCACCGCCGGGTGGTAGCAGTTTCATCTGTCCAATGGGTTTGATTTACTGTAGTCTTTTGCCTTGTGTTCTTGCAGGGGTTGGTGGTTTTCAGCCTTCACCCATGTCGAGTGTCTCTGTGATTTTTGCTCGTGACCGTGGGCCGACCCCTTGCCCGTTTTCGTTTTTGAAAATGCTGAGGGGTCAACCATTACTTGGGGAGTTGTATGAACCCGACTGGGATTTGTCAGTTGGTCCATTGACGAGTTCTGGATTTTGAGAAGTTGTAACAGTGTTTGGTTTTAACAAAGGGTGTGAAGCATTTGATTTGACCTGGACCTATGCACGTTTTCTACTGGGGAGAGGCACCCGCTTGCTGCCATGGGTTTGTTGCATGCGTTGTTGTGCATCAGTTGTTTGCGTCGTTGCAACGTGGACCCAGCCCCTCAACCCAAAACCCTTCACCCGAAACCTTCAAACCATAAGTTGGTCCATTGATGAGTTCTGGATTTTGAGAAGTTGTAACAGTGTTTGGTTTTCACAAAGGGTGTGAAGCATTTGATTTGACCTGGACCTATGCACGTTTTCTACTTGGGAGAGGCACCCGCTTGCTGCCATGGATTTGTTGCATGCGTTGTTGTTGTTGTAAATGAGTTGTTTGCGTCGTTGCAACGTGGACCCAACCCCTCAAACCTAAACCCTTCACCCGAAACCTTCAAACCACAACGTTAGCCCTCAACCCGAAACCCTCAAACCATAACGTTTAAATTCTTACACTATTAAACCCTCGAAACCCTGAAACCATAGCGTTGGCCCTCAAGCCGAAACCCTTCAGCCAAAACGTCAAAACTTATAACTTAAACCCTCAACCCGAAACCCTGAAACCATAAAGTTAAAGGTTGAAACATGTTAAAACTGAACCCTCAACCCAAAACCCTCAAGGATAATTTAATGACTCACAACCCAAAAACTTCAAACCTTGACATTCAGCCTTTAACTTAAGCCCTCAACCGGAAAGCCTCAAACCATAACATTCAACCCGAAACTCTGAAACCATAACGTTAAATTAAAGCTTACAATTTCAACCCTCAACCCCAGCCCTCAAACCATAACGTTAAAGCTTGCGCAACTTAAGCCCTCAACCCTCAGGTTAGCCATCAACCGTTACAGCTTATAATAAACTAAGCGTTCAATCCGAAACCTTGAAACTCATAAGGTTAAAGCGAAAACTTAAACCCTCAACCCGAAACCCTGAAACCATAACGTTAAAGGTTGAAACATGTTAAAACTGAACCCTCAACCCAAAACCCTCAAAGGATAATTTAATGACTCACAACCCAAAAACTTCAAACCTTGACATTCAGCCTTTAACTTAAGCCCTCAACCCGAAAGCCTCAAACCATAACATTCAACAGCCTATAACTTAAACCCTCAACCCGAAACCCTGAAACCATAACGTTAAAGTTAAAGCTTACAATTTCAACCCTCAACCCCAGCCCTCAAACCATAGCGTTAAAAGCTTGCGCAACTTAAGCCCTCAACCCTCAGGTTAGCCATCAACCGTTACAGCTTATAATAAACTAAGCGTTCAATCCGAAACCTTGAAACTCATAAGGTTAAAGCGAAAAACTTCATCCGAACCCTCATCCCGAAACCTTCAAAGCATAATATGACCCTCAGCCCGAAACTCTTTAACCATATGTTATAAAGCCTGCTCAACTTAATCCGCAACTTAAACCTTCAACCCGAAACCCTGAAACCATTACAACTTATGACTTAAGGCCCTCAACCCGAAACCCTGAAACCACAACGTTAAAGCTCGAAGCTTAATCCTCAACCCGAAACCCTCAAAGCATAATGACCCTCACCCCTGCAATCACTGAACACCGTCAACTTCAAGAAACCATTGAGTCAAAACGGAAGCTGATAGCTCCTGGCCAATATGAGGTTTTTAGATGTATTCGTGCTATCTGTAAGGTTGATTCCGCCGGTAAATGACGGTCATCACCATTCATGTTGAAGCTGTTTCTCTTTCTTTCGCATCGCTTGTTCTTGAGCCAAGTTCTCCTTGGTTGTCCCAAGTCTTGAGCCAATATAATATGATGAGTCTTGTATCAGAACTTTTTGGGGACATAAAAACCTATCTCCGTCAATAGTCGATCCTCTTGAGCCAAAGGGTGGTCTGTCTAAGAGTCTATCACTATTTGCAATTTGCATTATGCATGTAAATTTCCTGTTTACCTTCATTGTTGAAGTTATCCTTTTGAGTAGATCCTGTGATTCTCACATCGCTATTATTTTTGGGAAGATGCATTTTGCATCTTCTTTGTCAATCGGTTTTTGCTCGAAAAGCCATGGTTAGAATTTGTATGCGCTTCAAAAAAGTATGTGTATTATGTTACATCAACTTTCACATGACTTTCAAAGGTCTATTCAAGTTCTTCACGATTGAAGGCCGCTTGTGGTTTCTATTCAGTACATTTTTGGCTTTTAGGAAAAACAAAGGTATATTATATATTTGATATGTAACTTTTCAGATTGCGGACACTCCTGCTTTGCACACCTTTGGCAGTGAACAGCGACGCGCCAGCCCCCAGCTCAGGAGTTCCAACTCCTGCTTCCAAGTGCTAAGCGGACGCGGGCCATGATATGGCTGTAAACACATTTAGTGGGTGGGGCAAGCATTGCCGACAATGCTTGGAAAATGGCAAAGAAGAGCAAAAAGCGAGGCCCCACCCCATGCTCTTGACTGGCTCACACAAGGGTGGGAGCGAGGAACCCCGATTCACAATGGAACCCCGATTCAAAAGAAAAATCTTTCTGTGTGATCTTGCCCCGCCCACCATCAAGAACTTCGGTCGGCTCATTGGTCGCATAGAAGAAGGAAAGGGCGAAGCCTATGCCTCGAAGATCGATGTTCGATGTAGTGACCGCAACAGAATCATTTCGTATAAGACTGTGCTCATTGCTACAGGCGGCTCGGCCACTGCAGAAATGGCGATGCGGTATTCCTCTTTTGGTCATTGGATCTCACGCACGTGGCTGCTTTTATGGACGAGAGCCAACAATATGGCAATTACCATGAAATTGCAGCCCTTGCTGCGATTCAGCAAGCAACCCTCACCGTATTTATAGGGGATCATCGACAGACCCCAGGAGGACTTTCGAAAGGTCGAGCAGCGGCTGCTAATCGACGCAAGCTGTTGCAACGGCCACTAGGGCTCCGAGCGCTTGACAGGCCAGGTGATTACCTCCCTCCGGCACGAATGGCAGAGCTTGTCGCTCAGTTGTGGCCAGATGCTAGCCAAGATCCTAATTCTGATCTTTTCAGCCTTCTCAGACTTGGAAGCAAGCCCCACAGGAGCCCCTGGACTGACACCGCGCAAGACTATGAGCTGCCTGTCTCTCTTGGGCGGGTACTGCACAGCCGAGTATCGTGCCAGCTGGATGCGCACAGCAGTCTTATTGCAGCTGCCTTAGCGGTACTCCTGATTGCTACAGCACCTGAAGAGTTTGGAGTCCCCGAGTGCACCACCACCCTTGAAGCAGCAGGGTTGTGTGGTCCGCACCGCTGGGGTATTATACTCCCAAATAGCTCGCGAGTCTCAATGTTAACTTACAAAGTCATTGTTGCAGTTCGATATCCTGAGTTGGTCCTCCAAGAGTCCAATCATATCTACATTGGCCACTTTGTGCCACATGACGCCACTGTGGCGCAAGGAGGATTCCGGACAGTACTATGGAATGCACCAAAGGATCTGAGATTGGCTGTTGAGGATGTTGTCTCTCTCTGCAATTACTTGAGGAAGTATTATCACAACTTGCAGCAAGGAGCGACTTCGCAGTTGCTTGTCCTCTGCAACCGAACTGCGGTGCACAATCTGCTCCTACAACATGGCTTTCAGTCAACATGGTATGGTGGGCTGAGAGTTTCCACTACCTCCTCAGCAGCAGGCGCCACGGCGCGCATTGCAGTCATTGTTCAAACTGGTTGTGGGTTTCTTAGTGGTGGGCGCAGAGATGCCACTGCAGATGAACGTGAAGACTGCTATGGGAGAGCCACTGTCGCGCTCACGAGAGCCATTGAACATACATACATTGTCTCGCCTCTCGACATGGCAGGCATGATTGGGATGGCACAGACATTAGGGGTGTACCACTATGGGTACCTCACGCTCAAAGGTAGGGAGATCCAGTACCATGGCCCCACAACCTACCCGAGCGACAAAATTGCTGTACTGGAATGGGGACTAGGGGCGCCCTTCACCCCACAAGATAAACCCCCTCTAGCTATTGCCATGATTGCTACCGTCAATGGTACACGGTCTTGGAGAAGGTATCGGTTGGTGTTGGCACGTAAAGAGAAACTACGTCTCTCCTCTGCGGCACTGGCAGCGCTCGAGTCTCACACACGGGCTCATACGCTGACAACCAGCGGTTTCTTTCCCTGTTCAATTGATCGGGAATACTTGTATGGTTATGCAGCTGACGGGTACCGATCTCCACTCTGGCTTTGTGCTGCCTATAATGGACACCCAGCACTAGTGCACCGACACAGCGGCTACAAGATTTTCTTTCATTCGGGAATCCAGGATAGGCAACTTGTTGTGATCCCGGGCATGCATTATTTTGACGCCCACCGAATTCAACCGCTGCTTGTGAATTCGTTGGAACATCAAATTGATCCGAGGTCCATGAAACTCGCAGGCCCTGAGGGTGCAGGTGATACTGTGAATGACCCCTCATCTGATACCTGAT